CCCCAAGCCCCAAACCTGAAAACCTGCAAAAATCTCGCGGTCACGACTGACGCCGCTAGCTTAAACCTGCACCTGCCAAGCTTACCTACTTAAGGTATGAATTACGAAGTTTTTAAACTACAGCACTGAGGAATTGGAAGATGAAAAGAATGACCCCCCTTACATTGAATACTTTAACTTTCCGTCCAGAAGAGTTTGCGGAGACAGTTCATCCGGATGCGCTGACGTCATTTCTTCGCACAGTGCAGCAAGGACCAAGCACCACAAACTTGGATATTATCGAGCTTAGGAAGTAGAACCCAGCACTGCCCTCTTCCTCTCATAGTACAAAGACTTTAACCAAAGACTCCAGAAAAACGGAGCCAGGAACGCAGAAAGCTTCGAAAATGAAACACCGAGGCTGTGCGCTGAAGAAGTTGGCAAGACTCACGACAGTGTCCTGATAAGCAACATTAAATTATAAACCAAAGGCAAGGAGCGCGGCTTGGATCCCAAACCAGCCGAAGAGGCTGCCTGTCGTGATGAGGCTCAGTAGCCCGGTGCCTGAAGATGACTTCGGAGCTTGTGAGCTCGGCCGAAGGTGAGTGGTGACAAAAAGTCACAGGCATGCGGTCCAAGCAAACGTCGAACACAGGGTGCATCGTACGGCCTCAACTGCCTGTGGGTGATGCAGCCCAGTAGCGAAGTCTAAGCCGGGGAAACACAAACGTCCACATCGCCACTATATCGTGATTTCCGTGCATGCGATGTCAATTCCCCTCCCTTTGCTTCCAGGCCCTCCCAGGCCACCAAGCACCCACATCTAACGTGTAGGTTGCTCTCAACAAGGTTCTCCCGATGTCGCTGCTTTTTTGCGCGGGTCCGAAGACCACGCTCTCTTTAGTCTCTTGGACTCGGCACCCGGCACCTCAAAGGTAACCCTTGTTTAAAAAACTCTCAGAGGAAAGCTTGATAGCGACCACGGCACCGACCACACCAAGACCTGTCCAGCGCCCCAGCATGGACGTAGTCATGCCTCTGGGGCTTAGGTTCTAAATTTGGTTCGCGTGCTGCGATTTGGGGTTTTGGTGTTTGTTGTTCACTGGGTTTGGGATTTCGGTCACACTCGGACTCTCCAGGCGAGGCATATCTCCGCACAACTTTCGGGTGAAAACAGATAGGCTCCCGCAGGCGGTGCGCACCAAAGGGGCTTGCACTATGCCGGTCAGCCCGCGGCCCGGGAGGTGATGGCGGGCCGTAGAAAGGCCCAGGCTTAGCATTGCCGAAGGCGCATCAAAGCCAAAAATATCACGATTGCAGCGATACTAGGTCTGCTGTGCGGCCTCCCCTTTGTATCCGACACCCCCTGTAGTATAGAGGGCACACATGACAGAGTTCGGACGTGTTCAGAAGACTGAGGCAAACAAGGGCTTCTCGAAATTGCTGAGGATGGGCCTGTGGGAACAATGTAAAAGTTAGATGAACACGGAAGGAGTAGGGTAGGCAGCGACGAAAAGGGTCACTGTCTTTGAGATTGCGCAGATAGAAAGCTAATGCGGCAGTAACACGAGTAGATACTGCAGACCAATGTACTGACGAACAATCGAAACAGTAGCCTTCACAATACATCCCTGAGACCCCGCCTTCTCTGCAGCCGATCATGCCAAGCACCAGGCCCATCAAAGCCAGTATGAGGTTACCGAGGAGAACAGCCAGCAGGGCATCAGTGGAAGTCATCTTATTTCCTGCGTGAGTTCCGAGCGTTCCATTCCCAAGACAACAGAGGCTATGAACTGTTGCTATACCAGCAAGCATCACAGGATCCGATTCAAAGTGCAGCTTCGCGAACATGCAGATTGTTCTGTTTGGCTCCGGAACTCAATTATGCGGGTTGATTGCTCACTGGTGAAATGGCATTAAATCTCAAGATTAAGGTTACAAATCAGGGCTGCTTGCAGGCTTAAATTACTGTCACTGCATGTTAAACCGCCGCCAACCAGCCAAGCCCCTGAACTCCTGCACCCCCAACCTTAAACCGCCAACTCGTCCTATTTGAGCTCCGAGCACAACATTCGCGATGCAGCCGCCCTGTGCCATCTGCTCCAGTGCCATGGAGGGCCAGGAGTACCGAGCATGGCGCGGTACTCTGCCTTGGCTCTAGGCTGCAGGCCTCAAGGCTCAAGATTTCGGGTTATGCCGGAAGCTTTCAAGAGGCAAGCACGGGAAGAGCGCTTCACTGGCACATATTTGATACTGGCATCCCCGCCAACATATCCAAGCTGCAAAGGGCATAGTCACTCCCTAAGATCTGCTCTGCGGCTTCCTCGGTGGAATTCTCCTTCACACTTGCCGCCTCTGACGACATCGTGGAGGTTGCTTCATCACTGCTGGTGGTAGAGGGCTCCGGATCCGTAGCCGCAGCCGTGCCACTGAGGTCACCCATTGCAGCGCGGCCGAACAACACACGATGGAGGCAAATGCTACAGTTGGTTTGATGTCACCCACTCCCTCGCCGGTACCTAGTTTGCAATTGCCTCGCTTTGACTATGTGGGCTATGTATCTCTCTCTTCTTGTCTTGTACAGCTGGCCCGGTCGAAACGGTGCGGACTCCGGTCAATTAGCGCGCCGACATCCGAATCCCTGAACTCCTAGAACCTTGTAAAAACCATGGACTGTAACGATGTCGGATTCGAAAGCTAAACGCTTCACGGCTTGGTCAAGTCCGCGTTTAGCTCAGGGACCCGGATGCAGAAGGATCCTCTTGAACGTCCGAAACCTGCAAACAAAAATTGCTTACCATAGGGCCCAAATGTGAATCTAAGCCTAAAACTTCTCTGGGCTTCAGCAACAGAAAGGTAGGACAAAATTAAGCTGAGCGACACGTCAACCTTCCAGTAGGTTTCGAAATCCGAGAACCTCTGCATACCTAGACCCCGACACCCCGTAACGCATTTCGGACTCAGATTCTGAAGCATAGAAACGGCTCAGGGGTTGAGCAAACTTAGAGTTAAATCCTGAGCCGGGCACGTCGCAACTCAGCTGCATCTGGGCGCACCAGAGCCCGCAGCCGCACGGCAAGGGGCGAGCGCATGCGATTTGGTCCCAAAGCTATTCGGCGGATCGGAAACTGGTGCACTTGTGGGCTTTTGAGTGGCTATAACCTCCTATCCCATCTTATTCTGTATTGCACTGCAAAAAAGAACATATACTGTATGTATATAAATATATAAATATATGCACATGTGTATGTGTGTGTATATATATATATATGTAGTTACTTTGTAGGTGCTGCCTCCTGAGAAACACACGTGGGAACCCAGCCGTTCGCCATGTACATGCGCAATCTAACATTTTATTTCGAACATCCCCGCTCTAGACTACTGATCAGGACCTGCAAGGTTGGGGATTTCAAGGACATTTTGGGGCGTTTCAGGGTGTGGGCACTAGACGACGGCTACTTCGCAAAGACTACCCCTCAAAACCAAACTCCAGATCCGGACAAGATAATCAAGGCCTCCACGCCTTCAAGCCAACAGCAGCAACCCAAAGCTTTGGAAGACTTTGGAAATCATACTTGGAGCTGAAGGGTGAAAAGCGTCCAATTACTGGCTGCAGAGCTCAAGGAAGGTGTACGAAATCCGCGTGACGGATGGTGTTTGGCTCTTGGGCCTTACCTGTATGGGTCAGACACATGATATGAAAGATTGCACACCCAAAGCCCAAAGCTTGCCATGAGCCTGGCACTTCGCGAAAGAGCCTATCTTAAGTAGACTGGGGGGGTTGAATCCCAAGCCCCCTGCTGAAAGCGAGATGTGGATAACCCTCAACACAGACGGCTTCAGGGTCCTACTGGTACAAGCAAAGAGCACATCTGCACCGTCTGCCCCTGCCCTTAACCCGAACAGCGTGGATCCCCACTCCGAACCTTTGAGCCCATTGGTTTTCTGCCTTCCTTGCTGCCTCAGTCTTGTGCAGGCGGCGGATACTGGCCTCGTTGCTGGGCTTTTCACCCACGTGTTCCCCAAAAAAGGTCTCGAGCAGGGTCACTTTTTTGAGATCACGGTACTTCAGATGTAGACAAGGAAGGACTCGGGGAAGAGTATAGCACCATGACCCCTGTGCAAGGATGGCACATGTGTAAATCGAAAGGTGAAGTTGTCTAGAGCCCAGACCCTACACGTGGAACCCAAACCTTGCAGCCCTCCAGCAATGGGGTTCTACTTGGAGCGTGCCTTGGTTCCAAATGACCTACAGAGGTCGCAAGGCTGAGCAGGGCGTCGTGTGTTGAACTGGTCATTGATCGAAGCCGCACTCATCAAAAGTGCAGTCAAAGCCCCACGGCCAAACCCCATCAGACAAACCTGATGATAGGCACGCTTGGCCAGAACTTAATGCTGGTCGAAATCAGCCATGAGATTACGAGTCAGCGACACGGCTACCGTTGGTACAGAAAGCAGCAGCTCATAGCAACCAGGCCTTGAATGACTGGCAAGAATATGGTTCGGATCATGATCGTAACGAATCAAAGGCGCAATGTTAGACTTCTTAAACTTGCACTGAGAAGCGGAGCACATTCAGCATCTGCTGAGTTTGGCCGCCCGCTCGGCATGCGTCGAACAGAGCCTGAGTCTTGGTATCTCGACTGTCTCACTTCGAAGCCAGGCTCTGCGGGTTATCAAGATACCGTCTCGGAAACCCCGGAGCCTCCAAGGGACCCTCCGTAAACTTGTTCGATGCTTGGTCTGCGCACAGCTATGCTTTCACAGAGGGCGTTTGGCCCATGCTCACAATGCACCAAATGCACTTTCGAGCTAGTGTCTGGGATGGCTAGTTTGTTCTGGAGTTTGGCAGCGTCCGTGTGACATGAGTGACGGATGTGGGCAGAATCTCGTGAGTAAGATCCTGCTGATACTGTAGCTCCTGTCGGCAGGAAAACAGCAAACAGAAATCCCAGGCACAGCGTAGCATTTATCATCTGGTGCCACTCCATGCCTGATCTGCATTCGGAGGCTTGGGGTCT